AAATTACTAAATACCCCTTTGTTCGCGAACGCTCGTTTAGTTCGCGAACTTGTTCGTGTTCGTTCGATAACTAATCGAGCCTAATTTTGTGTTCGTGTTCGGTTCGAATGCTAAATAAACGAGCTGTTATCGAACACGAACGAACTCGAACGAGCTTTGTTCGCGAACGTTCGGTTCGAAAAACAGCCCTGGGCTACCCCCAATGGCCCAATGAAGTGAGTTCTGTGCATAAAAGTTGTTCAAAGAGATGTGTACAAATCTTGAATTTCATGTTATAAAAATAAGGAAAAATTTGAAGGCAAGTGGGCAGGCATTAATTAGGATGGAATAGTTTGTGCCTTGATGCATTGAAACTATGAGATGCAGTGGGTTTATTTTATTGATGGTCCAACCTTGGAATTGAACACAATGGTGTGTAGTAATATTATTAGTACAGAGCCCGTGCGATGCACGGGGTGCACAATTTTAAGGCTATTTATCCAGACTTATAATTATATACATGAATACAGAAAAATGTACGGGATATATATAGTACGTGACCCGTGCGTGGCACGGGATATATTTATTTGAGGAATACTATATTATAAAATGCAATATTCAATAAAAGTTTTATAATACGCAGGAAAATTATACAATAGGATAGTATTCGACAACATTATGAGTTTGATTTTCCATACAAAATAATAAGATTTTTTGTAAAAAGATAAGAAGGAATTTTCAATCTACACAAACTTTAAACATTAGATGTATTTACGTAAATCAGTGACTATATAAACAACTAAACCCTTCAATTTAGGCTTGACATCTATTTTATTTATGGGTGACGTAAGATAAGGATTTAATTTTGACCGATTAAATCTTTATTCATTGGCTTGACATATAAAACTGATTTGATGGGATTTTCTTAACTAAACCGATGCTATGGGATAAAACAAATCTATACTTACCTTTGACTTTTCTAGCAAAGGTAAAAAAATTGGTTCTGATTTTTATCCCATAACAAATCTTTAATGTCAAGCCTATAAATATCAAAACAAATTTATAATTAATATCATCCTATTTCCAGCAAGCATTAATTACCTTTGACTTTTCTGCCTACTATTTTTAGTAAATAGGATGACTTTTTATATAAGTATAGATTTCATATAATGCAAAGACTGAGATCATAAAAAAGAATCCTAAAAACTGAAACAATATATTTGCATAATTTAAGGCCATTAAGAAATCGATCTCTAAACCAGATTTGATTTTCAGAATATGTTTTTTCATTTCGAATTCCATACAAAATGGAATTCTTTCCAACCAATAGATGTCATAGCAAATATTAACTCTTAACTATTAGACTATTAGTACATACCGAGCAAATTGTGTACTGATTTTAGAAAGTTAAAATGATTCATGTTAGGTAATTTTACATTTTATGCATGTTGAACGGTGGGTTTTAAATATTGTTTCATAGAATGTAAATGTGTATTATATTATTTTTATGAGATGTTGAATTTGAAAATTAATAGAATTCTTCTTCATAGGAATTTTAAATGTAACAATATTCTTTGGTATACACTACTAATAAAATCTATATTTAAAGTTTATATTTTTTTTTACCGGAAAAAATTCCTTAATTTAAGGAATCATATATCTTCAATCAGTCCACATATATATACATTCTTCAAAATTTTAAATCTTGAATTTGATGAGAATTCGTATCTATGAGTGCAAAATATGGTTTAACAAATTATTTTTTTATTGTTATTCCAGCCATACTTCTTTATACGATTTTTTGTGGAAATACAAAAGTAAATTCTTAATTTTAAATCGGCCGTACATTAAAAAGTACAAATTTGTTGAAATTATAAAAAATAGTTTTTTATTTTAAACAGACGTAAATTTAAATCAGTTATAAAAAAGTAATATTTGTTTACCATTTAAATATTAAATCAGTCGTAATTAATGTTGTTTGTTTTAGTTACCACGATTTTCTCCAAACTAAATTAACAACTGCCATGATTTAAGGGCAACATTTAATGCTGCTCTATTTTTAGGAGACATTAAATACATTTGGCGGGAAAAACTTGCTAAAAGTGTTAAATGGTTAATCTTTTAATATAATGATAGATATTATAAAAATAATGTATTTTTTATAATTTTGAGGATCGTGACCAATTAATTAGCTAAAAAATATTAGATTTATTATAACAATTGCTTATGTGATTTTAAGAAATTTTACTATGGCATTAAAAAAAATATTTATTTAGAGAACAATTGCTTAATCAGATAAAAAAAATATAATGTTGATTTTAGAATAAATAATTTGAATAAAAAGTTATTGCAATATAATCTTTTATGTTTATGTAACTTTCATATATCATTTAGTGTAAAATATAATTACTAATTTTGATAATAACTATTATATGATTCAATAGAAAAATAATTATTACTCAATTAATACAAAATGTAACGATTTTTATTAATTAATCCAAAAGAAGTGTAATAAAATATTTTATCATTAATGGGATAGGGTGGATTATTGCCACATAGGTAAAATTTATTAAGTTTTATTTATTAATTTTATTTAATAATTTGCCACATAGGTAATATTTATTATGTTTTATATAATGACTTGTTAGCAATTATATATACAGATGGTGAGATTGCAATTTTTAAGATATTATTATTCATACGTAGGTCTTCTGTTAGTTCGCTCTAGTAATTAGCTAAACATATATATTTTTTCTTATAAATATAAGTTATGTTATTAAAATTTATCATATTTAAAAAATATGATATTTAATAGTTTCTATAGAGTATAATGAGTCGACTTGTGTAACGATTAAGTTATCTCACACAAAAATTTGTGCAAACCCGTACTTTTGCAGCAAAAATGAAAATTCATACTATATAATATCATATTTTTATTAATTTTTTTTTAAAAAAATGTATATCTCTATTAAAAAAGTATGACCGTGTTATATTACTTTTAAGCCACAATATTTACTTGAGTTGTATGGTTTGTTGAATATTACTTTTAAGCCACAATATTTACCCAATATGCAATACACTTTAAACAAGAGTGATTATCATTTTCATATCATGAAAGGAACAAAGAAATTTGGGGGTTACAATTTCATGAATTTGAGGTAAAATGTGCCCTCTATTTTTTTTTTTTTTGTTGATAATTAAGCAATCTCCTTGCTTTGTGGGAAGGGCATAGTCTTCAAGCAAGACCACACGTGCACATGCGCATGCACACAAGTGACACAAACACACACAAAAAGACACAAATGAACATTAATAAAAAGTAAAAACCAATTGTATGTATTTGAGGACCACTTGCTAATTTCAAAAGGAGTGTCTTGAGATTGAATATGTTGATAATAATTGTATTCAAGAATTGGTTACATGGTATCTTCCTATAAAGTGAACGAGTTCAAGATTTTCTTTATCTTCCCCATTTTCTCTCTAATTTCATTGCCAAAAAAAGAAATTTTAATTTGGGAAAAACACATTTATATCTACTTTTTCAACGTGTAATAGAAGGAAAATTACAATATATCATCTCTCAAAGCCAAAATCAACACCTACTTCAGATGAATTCATCATTTTTGGACAGAAATTTTAACCGTTAGATCAATATACACACCCACACAAGTATGTGATTATTATATAATTAAGGCTGTAATCGAATCGAGCATGGACCTTGTCGAGCATAGATTGATTTTTTTTTTCAATGCTCGAGCTCGAAGAGCCATGAAGCCATAAAAATGACACTCGAGCTCGACTCGTGAAACAAATGAAAATACTTGAAATCGGCTCGAGTTTGGCTCGAATTTTAACAACTACAAATTATGCACCTATGACAAGTTTGTGAATTACATATAGATAAAGGATATATAAGTATTTTATCTCATATTTGTCGAGAGGCTCGACTTTCAAAAATTTGAGCTCGAGATCGACTCAATAACATACTCGAGCTGCTCGAGCTCGACTTGAGTTCGGTCAAACTCGAGCTCGAGTCGAGCTTTGAATTGAGCAATTGCGAGCGAACAGCTCATTTGAAGTCCTATATATAATCCAATAGCTAAAACTCGATGAGTGAGTACTGTCCTCAGTATGTAAGATTGAATGCTCCTTATTCAATGGGTTTGCTTTGAAATGAATGACTGTAGATGGAAGGGACTCCATCTGGCACATACATTTAGTAAAAGAATTTTGCATTGATATGATTTGACTGAGTCAAAAAGGACCTATAAATTAAATGAAAATAGGAAAGTTCTTAACTTTTTCCTAGCAATAATTGAATGATGATACACCTGTTTTTGTGAATACAAAAGAAAAGAAAAAGAAAAAAAAAAAACACTAAAATGAGCAGAAATTGATTGTGAAAACATGACAGTTGGTAATTGGCATGCATGAGCATGCGCCATGCAGGGCCTACAACTTGGGAGGCACCATCCCCAATTCTTAATGAAGGATTTGATGTGTGGCTTGCATTGCATGCATGTCAAGTACTACAAACAANAAGTTAACAACAAAGACTCACTCCTGAAGATTTTTTCCCCTCAAAGATAGGGAAAAAACAGAGCTGCTATAAGTCCCTACTCATCTGTAATCCAAATACAACAATTATATATCATCTAGTACAACAACAATTTTCCATTTCCTTTCTCTTTTATGGAAAATTTCCTCAAGATCCTACCTTTTTCTTTTCTTTATTCTTTTTCTTGAAATTTTTATCATTCCCTCTCACACAAGATGTTAATTTGCTCATCTCATCTCATCTCATTCTCCTTCCCCTTCCTTTATGCTCATCTCAACCCCTCCTCCCTCCATCATCAGCGGGCCCGGGCCTGGGCCCTGGCCCGCCTCTATCTCCTTAAACATGGCCATCACTTGAATCATCGTGGGCCTCTTCCAAGCCCGATCGTCCAAACACGCGCACGCCACTTCCAAATGCCGCAACAACTCCATCTCCAAACCCAAATCCTCCCTCATCAACTCAGGGTCAAAAACGTCACTTACCCGACCCCTCGCGCGCTCCTTAACCCACCCCACCAAATTATTATTCTCCCCGAACTCAGCCGAGTCAGTCGGCTGCCTCCCGGTCAGCAACTCGAGCAAAACAACCCCATAACTGTAAACATCCCCTTTCGTCGAGCACCTAAAGCTCTGATAATACTCGGGAGGCACATAACCGGGCGTCCCGGCTAACGTACTCACACTCAAATGTGTGTCCATCGCATTCATAAGTCGAGCCATTCCAAAATCCGAAACACGCGCTTCAAGATTCTCGTCGAGTAACACATTGCTCGATTTCATGTCCCGGTGAATTATATGCGGGATACAATTATGGTGGAGAAAAGCCAATCCCCGGGCTGCCCCAATCGCGATTTTCCGCCTCGCTGGCCAGTTTAATTTAATCCCGACTTCCTTCTTGGCGCGCAAAACATCTTCCAAGCTTCCATACTTCATGTACTCATAAACAAGAAGTCGTTCATCCCCGACTTTACAATAACCGAGAAGTGGGACCAAATTCCTGTGTTTGATTTTCCCGATCGTCTCCATCTCGGCAATGAACTCGCGCTCCCCTTGCCCGCTGACGTGGATTAGTTTCTTGATCGCGACGACGCTCCCGTCTTTGAGCTCCGCTTTGTACACGTCGCCGAAACCTCCCGAACCTATAAGGCTCTCGTCGTTAAAACCGCGCGTAGCTTCTAGAAGGTCCGCGAACGTCAGCTTCCGGAGAGACTTCTCGAACGCGGCGAGGTTAATGCTTAGAGCCTCACGTGCGCTTATTTTCCATCCGCCGCTATGTGGGCCCGAGCGCGAATGGGCCTCAATGTAGGCCTCGATGGCGACCTCTTTCTTCTTCTGACGTCTCTTACGGGCCTCGACTGCGACGAGAATAAGCCCGAATACGCACAAGAGCGAAAAGAGAAGGCCCATTGCCACACTTCCCACAAGGGAAGCCTCTCGACGGCGGTTCGCGGGCCCGGTAAAGTCCGATCTCGACGTGCAAGAAGGCAAAGGGTACCCACAAAGGCCCGAATTGTTTGCGAATCGGTAAGCCGGGAAGGTGTCGAACGGGGCTACCTCGGGTATAGCACCCGACAGCTGGTTGTTGGACAGGTCAATGTCGGCGAGGAAAGTGAGGCTGGTCAACGACTGCGAAATAGTTCCGTTCAGCTTGTTGTAAGACAAATCGAGAATGGCGATGCTTTTTAAACCCCCGAGCTCGTGGGGGATTGGGCCCGAGAGCCCGTTGTGGCCCAAATTGAGTACGGATAAGTAGAACAGTGACCCGAGCTCTTTCGGGATGCTGCCTTGTAAGTTGTTGTGCGAGAGGTCGAGGAAGATCATGGAGCCGTTGTGGTTGAATGTGGGCTGAGTGATTCCTCGGTAGACTCGGGTGAAGTTGCACGGGTGGCGAGTCGAGATTCGGCCAAGCTGTTCTTGCCGGATTCCGCCGAACTCGAGAAGGTTACCTGCCCCGTGGCACTTTTTGCTGCCGTCGTTCTTGATGTAAACGTAACTCTTGCCGGTTAAGAAAGCGGCAGCTATATTTGACTGTTTAAACAGGGCGGGTGGGATTGTTCCGGTTAAGGAGTTAGTGTTGAGGTCTAACCAGATGAGGCTACTGCAGTTACCCAGTTCGGCCGGGATTTGACTGGATAACGAGTTGTTACTGAGTTTTAGGATAGCGAGATTGGCTAATTTGCCTAGAGAAGACGGGATTTCGCCGGTTAACCGATTGTTGGAGAGCGAAATCCAGTTGAGTTTGGAGCAGTTGCTGAGGGAGGGGGGAATGGAGCCTGATAAGTCGTTGAAGTCGAGAATTAGATTCTCTAAGCTCTGTAGGTGCATTAACTCGTTCGGTATTTCGCCGTGGAGTTGGTTTAGCCACATGATGATGTCACGTAGCTTGGTTAACGAGCCTAAGCTCGACGGGATAGTGCTGTTGAGGTAGTTGAAGCTGAGATCGAGAGATTCTAATTTGGAGCAGTTGCTTAGGCTGGAGGGAATTGGTCCGTTGAACATGTTGTTCTGAAGGTACAATGTACGAAGGCTGTTGCCGGAGATATTGTTGGAGCTTATGTCTAATGTCTCTAAAGATACGAGCTTTGAGAATGAATCCGGCAAGTTGCCGACGAAATTGTTGAAAGAGACGGCCAAAGACTTCAGGTTGGTCATTTTTAAGAAAATGTCCACCGGCAGCTCGCCGGAGAAATTGTTAGCGGATAAATGGAGAAGCTCCAGAGCAGAACAAGAGGCGAGGCTTTGCGGCAAGATACCCGTAAAATTGTTGGAGGACAGATCGAGTTCTATGAGGGTCCCACACGAGTTGGCTAGGGTCTCCGGCAGGACTCCCTGGAAGTCGTTCTCCCGGAGGTACAGAGACCGGAGGCCGCCGCCGCCGGCGGAGGAGGCCGGCAGGCCTGGGAAGAGACCAGTGAGGAGGTTGCCGGTGAGGTTGAGGAAGGATAGCTCGCTGCATTTGGTGAGCGAGTTCCCCACGCCGCCGGCGAACTTGTTAGAGGAGAGGTCAAGGTGCTGCAAGGCGGAGCAGTCGGCGAAGGTCGGGAAGCGGGCGGAGATGTTGTTGAGGGAGAGATCCAAATGCGCCAGGTTCTTGAAGTTGAATTCCGGAAATGCCCCCGATACCTTGTTGCCCTTCAGGGTGAGGCGCCGGAGCTCGGGGAAGGCCCTGCCGGACAAAATCCAAGAGACGGCGGTGTCGCCGGAGACGTTATTGTACGAAAGATCGAGAGTTTGTACGGAAAGAGAGGACACGGTGGCCGTCGCAGCTGCTCTGGGGGCTCCTCCCCTGTTGGGGTCCATGGCGTTTCTGGAGAGATTGAGAGAAACCAGGCCGGAGCAAATTCCGAACGCCGGAATGTCGGTGACGGTACCAGAGACGGCGTTGCCGGACAGATCTAACGAGTTGAGGAGGCTGCTGCAGGTGAATCTCGCGACGGAGGAGATGGGCCCGGAGATGTTTGCGTTTCTCAGCACGAGGGACTCGAGATTCTGGATGGGCAGCAGGAATCCGGCGACCGTGGCTAAATCGGTTCCGAGGCGGAGGTCGGAGAGGTCGACGGAGGAGACCCTGGAGTTTGTGCAGAGGACACCGGGGAAATTGCAGGGGGAGAGAGTAGGAAGCCACGCCTTGAGCTCGCCGGGGTTGTGGAGGGCGTTCTTGAAGGAGATGAGCAGCTGGGAGTCCTGCGAGAGGAGGCCGGCGGCGGCGACATTGTCGGCGGCGGCGACATTGTCGGCGGCGGTGGCGGAGAGGAGAGAGAGTACGAGGAGGAGGGTTTGTGTTATGAGGGCGAATAAGGTGTGGTGGAAGAGATTATGGTCAGCTTTCATCTTCGGTTAAAGACTCAATTTTTATTCGATTTCTTTTTTTCCTTTCAGTTTTTCCTCTCAGGAGTTCAGCTCCTTCTCACGTATTCTCAGATAGAGAGAGAATGAGAAAAGGAGGAGAGAGAGGGTTTAGGGGTAGAGAGAGGTCAGCAAGTTTGGATTTGGTTTGTTTTGAACTTTTGAGAGAGAGAGAGGGGGGGCTGAAAACAGAGGAGAGTCGTAAAAAAAGATTGAGAAACTAAGGTGAATATACTCGCTTATATAATTTTCCCATCACTTTAATTGACAGATTTGCACGCGTCAGAATAATACGTGACAAATTTTTAAATTTTGTTGTTTGATTGAGATGAATTTTAATTTATTTCCAATTCCAAAAGTAACTAGACTTAGAATATCCATAAATATACTAGATATTTATGGTCCCTTTTACGAGCATTAATTCTGTTTTAATACTATTTACTATCGTAGACGTAATTTATAAGGTATAAGTTTTTTTTTTTATTTTTTTGTTTAAAATTATAACAAATTTATTAAGTTAAATTATAAATATATTTAAAAGTTAATATTTTTTTATTTATTAATAAACTTTTATATGTAATATATCAAATTAATCATGTTCGATGAGTTTCGATTTGACATCTATATTATACATACAAAATAAATGAATAATTTTATTTATCTTTATAATTAAACTTAAGTTCATTATTAATATCAATTCGAAAATAAAAATTTATACTAACTTAACTACGAAGTAGTTATCCGATATAAATTAAAAAAAAATTATAATATAAGATGGTAAGTCGTGTAAGTGACCGTGTCATTTTAAATATAAATAATAATATATTTTTTTCCAAATTTATTTTAAACTATTTAATTTTAAATGTAATTTTCTTAACAAAGACCAATGTAATACACGTGTATTGTACTACTATAATATATATACATAATAATTTATGTGAGCTGGCTTAAATATTATACAATCACACTGTTTGAATAAAAATGTACAAAAATATTATTAAATGGTATATTTTATTTATGTTACTTTTGTAAAATATATCATTTCAATTCAAACGTATGAATATATGTTTAAAATATGATTATCATTCAAAAAGTAAAAAAAAAATATTATTAAATGGTATATTTTATTCATGTAAATTTTGTAGGATATATCATTTCAATTCAAACGTGTGAATATATGTTGAAAAATATGATTATCGTATCATTAGACATGCATATAATAGTAACTTTATTGAAATTATTATTATTATTTCTTGATGGGGGAGAAAACAGCTGTGCACATGGTGGCATTCTTCCTTTCTCTCTCAAGCATTCTCTCTCTAGACTCATATGTTTGAAGAGGGACATGGATTTTTGCGATCTAATTTCTGTGTTCTGATCTCTCTCTCATTCTTTCATTTATTCTAAACAGTTGACTATTATGGAATTCTTATAATTCACGTTTATGATTAATTAACAACCACGGATTGAGCATTTATTTTAGATGGATTGTTGCAGCTTTTACATTCATATTCTTCGAGCATACCAATTTCACAATATTTTGGGTAAACTTAAAAAATGTTTTGTTGTGGCCATGTAAAAAAATATCTAATATACAAAAAATGTATATTTTTAGCGTAAGCCGAAAGCAGATATGATCAACTACGTCTGTG